TGATACCACCACACAACATTTCAATTTCATGCAAAATTAGGAACATATTGTACACTTGTATATTACATACACCATGATTTTTCCATGTCCAAGAGACTTGTGGATGTGAGAGATATTTTGAAGTCTGCTCTATTCATTTGGATTTAATGCTCCTTTCATCCACTATAATTTGCTCCTCCAGTCCCCTCATGCACCCGTTTAACACGTTTCCTCTTTTTCCAGCATTAGCTTCTAATTTTCTCACAAAAATGTTTTGAACTCAAAAATTATTTCTTAAAGCTTATCTTACTTTCCCCTATCTAGTAAAAACTTAAAAAATCTTAATTTGTTACTTTATTTTCCTCGTCAGCTTCAAAAGAAGCCGATGGAAATTATACTTAATATAGCTTATTGAAATTGTCACAAGGCCAAAACTTCAATCATGATCACAGTTATGTATTTATTTCCTAGAATCTCAAGTTTGCTAAAAACAGGATGGAGTGTAACCTCTTTTCTGAAAGCTGTCTTATTTGCTCCATGTATTTACCTCCTTTTTGAAAGATTCTCACTATCATTAAATTCATCTTATAGGCAATATGAATTGCATATAACATTTATATATACTTATCCTACTGAAATTTTACGACTCAATCAAAAATTTCACATTAGTGGCAACTCTTCACTCTGATATGCTACAATAATTCCAGTTGTTCAGTTTTTCTCTTTGCTGTCATGGGTTTCCAGTCATATTTGAAACTTCCTTTACTAGTAGTTATATTAGCACTCAACATTATTGTACAGCTATTGGAAATTAATTCTGTCAGGAGAAAAAAGAAAAACTATAGTTGATTGGAGAAAAAATGAAAAATGCATGAAGGAATAATAGACAGCTTAGCAGCAAAGACATATATGATGCATGATGCACATTAGAATAAAAATTACCATCATCAAATGAAATATGTATCAGTTCAGGTTTGAATACCATGAAGCCTCAGAATTACACAAGAGGACTGCACTAAAGATGGCTTACACAAGATTGAAAGAATGATTTGAACGAGAAAGATTAAAAGGGAGATCGAGAAAAATGTCCATTCTTTGATACATTTAATTTATAAGCAGTCAAACCAAACAACCAAAAACAAGATTGTACGTACATGTTTTGGAGACATTCCAGTATGTTACATAATTTTGTAAAGTCAGCACCAGACTTTGTTATATGTTAAGATTTTAGGGCACCAATGCCAAAATTACAAATGTAAACAAAATTATCTATTTTCACCTAATGTAATGTAGATAAACTCTGTTGAGATACCAAGTTATATAGCAAAACCCTCATGTTCTGAATCAGCTAGTCTCAGGGAAGGGGCGGGGCATTAAAACTGGCAGCAATGCCCTTAAAGCAAAAAAATGTTCAGAGGACTTCCATTCTTGCTTTTTATATCTTGAAGATTTCTGGAAAGATGAATGTGTGGCTGTAAATTAAGAATACATGGGTCATCACAATGATGACTCATCCAGTTGAACAGTGTCTAATCACTTGCAGTCTAAGCTCAGACATTATGAACTACTACTTGGTTATTGTACAGGGGCTTGCCAGTGTCCATGAAACTGTGGTTCAGAAAGGAGGAAAGAAAATGAATTAGAGAAAAAGAAAGTCAGACTTTTTCTTCCAAAGTTACTTTTGAAATGAGTCAAATTGTAAATGTTCAGGAGCAATAACTGGAATGAAAGATAGGTGAGAAGGGAAATCAACAAATTTTAATTTATTCATATCTTTTAAAAGAACAACCTCTGATAATTCTCTCATTGCTTCACTATTCATTAACACCTGGATTTTTCTGTCAGTAGTGATTATCATTTATCTTGCTTCAACTTGTTGTGATTATTCATTTCCCTGTCTTACATAAGACAACCCCTTTAAATTGCTCTGCCACTCACTTCATGTCCACATTTCCCTTCTTAAAAAGAAAAATAACCTAAAAGCAAACAGACTAGAACCAAAAGTTAACCTAGAAAACAAACTGCAGTTGGATTAAGCTCCATATTTGAAGTTTTCATTAAAATATCCCAGGGCAACTGAAAAGATTTATAAAGACACATCAAAAGCTTTGAGGGAGAACTTAGTTTCTCGTTACATATTAAATTCAGTACAATATATATATGTCTTTCTGACAAACTATTTCTTCCAAATGAAACCAATTCATGAGAGGTTACAAATTGTCATGATTTTCACCTTGATCTTGTAGGTACTTGTCACCAGCAACAATGCGATGATGTGGTTACACTATAAAGATCAACTGTAATAATTTTAGATATCAAACTTTTAATATTAAAATAAGGCAATCTTGGACTTCATTTAAAAAGATTGCATAATTGCTATAAATTGCTATAATTAGGTAAAAGTGTATTTCTAATTTAAGATAGTTAAACATTTAGCATGTTTAAATAAAATGTGCACAATTTCCATGATGCTATTAATAAATTATTAGTTATTCACTTAATCGATCAGGCAATGCAATGTTCATTAAACTAATTTAACCATAAAATTCTATTTTTAAAGTCAGAATAACAAATTCATCTGCCTCTTTATTTATAGAAAAAGATGCAAAGTTCTCAGATATCATTACTGCATTTGTACTTTGTAACTGGGTAAAACGGTACGACGTATTCCTACTGTGTACTTTAATCATGCTAAGTGATAATGAATTAGAGTCATAACAGCACAAAGGATGCCATTCTGTCCACTGAATCTACACCAGTTCTCTATAAATTAATCCAATCAATCCTATTCCCTTACTCTCGCAATCCAGAAAACTTATTTCCTTCATGTGTCTATCCAATTTACTTCTGGAATCTTTCATCGTTTCTACTTGAACCCTGTAAGGCAGCAAATTCCAACTGACAGCAGTTGATTTAAAAAGTCCTCTTTGTTCCCCCTGTATTTCCTTTAATATGCTTTTGTTCTTGTAACCATCAGCTAATTGGAATAACTTTTTGACAGGATTTGTTTTCAGAGTGTTCCATTATACTAATGTAAAATGTCTTTCAAAACATGTGGAAATACAGTTGCTGCCTTGATGTTTGAAAGTTTGCAGTTTAAAATACAGTAAAATTGTGTTATCCAGCACCTCAATGAGAAAGATCCATGAACCAGAATCACTATTATATAAAATGCTGATGTTATTTAGTTTTAAGTGTCTGCAAAAGGAGTGGCTGCAGATTGAAGTATTTTTTCCGTCAATGTGTAGAGTACAAGGAATCAAAGATGGAGAGGCTCTAAGCATCTGCAATTTGCAGCATATATCGAGGCATGTTTCTGTTTAATTCCTACACAAACTGCAAGGGGTTAACTATTTCTGATTTGCTGGCACCACCTAATCCCAGTTTGTGTTGGATAACATGAATTTCACTATTGATGGAGGTAACATATTCCTTTAATTTTAAGACTGTACTCAATAATAGCAGTATATTTCATAAATTTTTTGAATTCCTTCTATTTAGACAAGTTTCACATCTTACAAGAACTATGATTAACCATCATTGATGTTGATATGGTTCAGAATGTTTATTGAAACAGTGCTATTGAAATCACAAGGGAATCAGCTTGGAGGAATTACAATTTGTGGAAGTTAAATTAGTAGGTATTTGTTTATTAGTTTGGAAGATTTCAGCAAAGAGTTAGTCCTAACATGTATCAACATTTCCTGCACATCATCAGGTTGAGTAATTCCTCCAAACTACTTCTCCATAAAGCTATTTTTTTTTAAGAAAAATAAATTTGTAAAATGTAAAGGAAACAAACATTTTCTTGGCAATGAGATTTGTAAAATAAATGTTAAAAAGTTGGCAAATGCAGTGAAATGTTGTTCTAGTTATAAATATCATTAACGATTTTACCCAATTGAGAAACTTATTTTCCGTGTAGCACTTTCTGCTGATATTAGTTCTAAATAGTACTATATATTACATATAGAGATATACACATGCATCAAAGCAGTTGCTTTTGATTCATGCAAGAAGGAAACAAAAAATTGCAGCAATGTTATTTGTCCAAATCATACCAGATTGTTAAACATATTTTAGTGTTGAAAGGTTAGTATGATGTGCAGGCCTGGTTAGTGTACTCTTTAGTCAAAGAACATACTTCAAAATAAAGGACTCGGGGAAATCCCTTTTAGTGTGAACAGAGCGTAAGAAAAGTTTGTTTTAAACTGTTAAGGGTTTAGTGCTCTGATAGGAAGTAACCTGAATGTAAGCTCTGTCACTGAATCTTACCTTTGATTTATAGAACTGATATTTTAATGATCTAAAAGGGGAAAATAAAACAATGAAAATAATCACTTTGATACATGATAGATATGTACAGGATAGGAAGGCTGAGTTTGCCATTTTTATAAATTTTCAACCATTTTTTGAGATGCCATTTGAATACCAAAAACCCAAGACTATAAGACAAGTCTGCAATATTTTAATTTTCATTTGTTCTATTCTTGGTCAAAGTTTTAAAAATAGCTGGTTACATATTCTAGGAAAAGCTATCAGCTAGACGTTGAAGTTCTGTTGTTTTTTTTTAAAAAGGCAGAGATTAATCTTCCCCATCCAGTGCAAACTAAAACGCGAAAACTAAGAATCCCTTATCTAGAATGAGAAACTATAGACTATTTGCAAGAATTCAGCAGAGAGGTCCCGCTTGCCTTTTTTGATGAAAGGAAAAAACAGCTGTACATAGATTTACATTAATATCATAATCTTACAACAGAATTGTAAAGATAAATTGTAGTTACCAATAAGTACATCTAGTCAATCTAGATAGTCAACACCATAATTAAAGTTAGGAAAAAGATACAGCAGAGGCGTTGATCCTTAAAAAAGGTGATGGAAGTGTTTGCATTTAAGGTAACAGCAATATTATACAATGTTTATTAATCAAATTGTACAAATAATCTAAAAAGCTGATATGCAACTATTTTGGGAATTAATTTTTTACAAGGTCAAACACAAGATCAGATATTTGCTTTTACCTGAATCAGATGGTATGTTGTGACAAGGGGCTGGACAGAAGACTTGGGCAGCAAAATCCTCAAAAGTGGTTGGCTCCTGGTGGTGTTGTACAATGGTTTCCAGATATCGAGCTCTCTCCTCATAGCTGAGATTTGAATTAAGTATAAACAGACCAATTTAAGCAGCATACTAAGTTCAAAGCACATAATTATACATTTTAATCATTGCTAGAAAGTCATGTTCCAATCATAAGAAATGTTTGGAGAAGTCCTGGCTTGGTACCTTAGTAGAGTTTACAGCTGGAATTATTGAATTGTATCATATTCTCACATTGTTCCAATAATGCATTTCAATCTTCAAGAAGGAAAGCTATCCCTTTTGAACTTTTTAATAAGAATGTGGAAGCTCATAGAGAAGTTAGGAATTTCAATTAATGAATCATTTTTCTTGAAGAGAAGGTTGAGAGGTGACTTAATAGAATTTAAAAAATCATGACTTCAGAGTGGAAGGATCAAGAACCTGAGGCAGATCTAAAGTAATTGGCAAAAGCAGTAATGGCGACATGAGGAAAAATGTTTTCACACAGCGAGTGGTTAAGACCTTCAAATGTACTGTTTGAGAGTGTGATGGATGCAACTTTAGTCAAGACAATCAAGAGACAACTGATTATCAGAAAAGGAAGAATATGCAGGGCTACAGGAAGAGACTAGCACTAGACAAATTGCTCACTTTGGAGAGCCTGCACAGCATCAATAGGTCAAATGGCCTCCTTCTCTACTGCAACCATTTGAGATTCTGTATTACAACTGACAATCCCAGTTTTCAGACTAATTAATAAGGCTTCTTTGACTAATAGTTAATGGCTCTGCAAAATTGCATACTTTACTTAGCAATCAAATTCTGAAAGAGAGGAAGTATTATTTAGTATAAATTTAGTAACTAGAATTTAATAGATTGCTCAAACTCATTTTAGTTGAGGAAAATTGAGATCAGAAAGGAATCTGTATTCCACTTTCCCCAATGTCAAAGGTTTAACTCCCAGCTGTCAAAATAATCTAGTGCACTAGCCATGAGAACAGAAATACAGATCAAATAGCTTTATAACTGTAGTGCTAAATTGCGTAGTAAGCACCACGAATATAGACAGTCCCTGGAAACACAATGCAGTTCAATTTAAAGTAGCTGGTTGGAGGTACAGGAAAAGTTCATGGCAGGTCTTTAAAATTACACCCCTGTATGGGATCACATTCGCAAGGGGCCACCTATTTACTTCTGGAAAAAGACCTTCTGTCACAAATATGGGCAAGACAGTAAAATACTATAACTTCCATTTTTGTTGCAAGAATGTGGACAGTTACTTGGTATGACATCTTGTAGAATCCAGACACCAGCCAGCAGCTCACATTTTTGTGTGAAATAGTGGAAAATGCTAACTTTAAATTAAAACACCCTTATAGCTAAAACAAATCCAAGAGACAATTTAGGTCCTATTAAAATAAAGAAGGCAACATGGTGTTACAAAGGGTTTAGTTTTTTTATATAAAAAAGTTGTCTACAGTCAGAAAGTATTTCAAATCTTCAAATCAGCATGTGTGCAACCACTGTAATTTTGGAACAGCAGATAATAAATTACAATTTGCTGACTTCATGGCTTGTAGTTGATGCTGTAAGAAACTTGTTAAATGACATGCCACAATTTTTGTTTCACATCTGTGCTGGAATATCAATTCTTTAATGTTTTGATGTATTGATTTTACTTGCAAAACCATTTGTAATCATGAAAAATACTATAATGTTATGGAGGTTGGGGTAGGGTGGAGTTGGGAATGGGAAGCAACAGATGTTAAAGAGATTGTATGATGAATTTTTGAATATGCAACCTGAAACTTGCTGAGGTCATTTAGTCATGTTAAAATTTACTGATATTTAGTGTAAGGGATATATGGGATCAAATTAACTGATTATAGGAGCTGCACCCCAGAGATATCAATTTTGGACCAAAATTGTCTCCTCTTTATAAATATCAACAGCTATTAAAAGATACTGCAGGTATTAGTTTATACTCACTTCATTAGGACTCAGGTTCAATTGGCACCATGATGGTTTTGAACTTCAAATAAAAATACATCTATCACAAACTGAGTTTTTCCCATAGGCAATTATTAAAACAAATTGAGGACTGAATTCGATAATAATGGTGCAACAGATTTTGTTATAGTCTACTTCATTATTAATTGCAGAACAAAGTCAAATTGTTGGTTGCATTCATTGTAAACTATTTAGATTTATCCTGCAAACAACCTTTCAAATGTTGGTGGTATTAATAACATACTTTTTCTTTGGCACAAATTAAAAAGAGTTCTGCATAATTAACATCATGACATCAAATCAACAGCCATCTCCCAGTCTGAAACAAGTGCACTGAAGGTGCAAGACAATTTCGAATAGCTTTCTTTTAAATCACTCTTTGAAAATATACAGGTTGTCCATTGTAGGTTAAGACATTTTAATCAAAGTTCCAAAACATTTCAAATTTAGCAGAATCACCACACTTTTCCCAAGAAGCTAGAAGTTAACTGATTGCGTACTTGTATTCATGCATACCGATCCTTGTTCATGATGGTTAGGGAAAGGCATAACCAGCAGTGAAATTCTGGTCTTCTGGCTGTGCATCCTGTGATGGTACCTATAGTCTAATTATTTTGGGAGGATGGTCATAAGTACCAAAGTTTCTGAACATCCTAACTTCCAACCAATGCTGTTTTATATCTTAATGCTCCTGGTACTAGGGCTCAAATGGTTTCAAATCTCAAAAGGGATCCAACATATCAGTGTTTTCAAGAAAACAGTTGTCAGTGCAGTGAAGCTCATAATCAGGATTATCTTAAACAAAGGACCGACAATCTATTTGGAAGAATTATATTGATTCTATTATGGATAATGCCTACTCACAAATAAAGATGTCACCGTCTAAGATATTTCCTCACGTCCCTTCTGATTACGTTCTGGCAGCTCAGTTCTTTCGAGCGAGTCAACAATACGAATGTCTTTGCCCAATAGGGCCACACAAAGCTGCTTTTATTTTGATCTTCCAGCTGCTGTAGCATTAGTATTCTAGCCTACACTGATAAGTTGACAAAGGCAAAATGACCGATTCTTTTAGACCTATAAGCGAGTCGAGTATTATGGTGTTAAAGCCTGTTGTTGGTCTTATTATAACGACTACTGCACTAATGATAAAACAACTTCATAACATTTCAAAGAGCTTAATGATTAGATGTAACCATTTATGGTTCATTGTTATAACATTACAATATTTGATTAACTTTATTGTATTATTGTATTTCCCTTGGGCAGGGATAATTGGTTAACTTGACTTTTCTTTTGTAGCCACTAATTCAGAGGGAGAATGGTGCCAAAAGTTACAATTTGGACACAGCACTCTTAGAGACTCCACCTGAAACCTGTCCTGTACCATAAAAAGGGCCACCAAAAGATTACAGATCAAAGCAGTAATGAGGTAACAATCTTACACATGGAAGCAGAATCATGTAAGATCACGCCAACACCAGGAATGCCAATTTGTTCTTTTGTCATGTTATGATCCCAGTAGAGATCAATAACCTCTAAAAGAAAGGAAGTCCCAGAAAGCCATAAGAATGAATACCAATGGACAAGATGGCGGCAAAGTTGCAGCACAGTGTGAGGGCTCCTGACCAGAGCTTGTCTGCTCCGTTCACTTTTACTTTTTTTATTCTTTCACTGTGTTTTTTTCTTACTTTAATCTACTTACCTTTTGTAGAGAGTGAGTTTGTGCAGCGCAGAGGAGAGCGAGCCCAACACATGGGAAGTCAAGCCATTCTAGAGAGAGTGAGCCCAATATGATGGTGACTGACTTCTCCCGGCATCTATAGTGGCATCGAGAGCAGGCAGTCCCAGGTCTCCTGGTATCTATGATGGCAGTGAGCACAGGGGAGATCAAACTTACCTTCTGCAGAGAGCTTGGAAGTGGATGCACCGGTGGTGATAGTACCGCAGCTTTGTCAGGTCTGGAGCGTGGCAGCAGCTGGGGGCCCGGAGCAAGGACCTTAATGGTCAGAGATCAAGCCCAATGCGGTGGCGAGAGCAGGTAGCCCAAAGTCTCCCAGAAAGCAGGTCAAAGTGGAAGACAGTGAGCCCCTGCAGGGAGTGTGAGCTCAGCACGGCTAAGCACATAAGAAAGACTGGTGAACTCTTAACTTTATTTCTTTATTTTTCTAATTTATGCTAACAGGGGCTGTGATGTTTAACTCAACTTTATTACCTTACTTTTCTACTTTGTACCCAAGGTACCTTTGTACCTAAGATGACACCAGGAATGGCGACATTGTTCACTTTTCACTGTACTCATGTATTTCGGTACTTCAGTAGACGTGACAATAAAATTTAATTCTAAATTAATAATTTACTGTAACAAATCAACTAATATCAAAGTAATTTAAACATTAATTAAGGTGAAGGATATTTCAATCAAAGATGTAGATTTCACTTCAAATAGTTAACACAAAAATACACCTCATATAATTAAAAGCACTTGCATTAGTTTGGGCAGAAACATGGTATCCTATACAAGTCAGTTTTTTTCAGGTCAGTCTTTGCTGTCTAGAATAGTGCCCTCCTAATTATTTCAGCCCTTGGGTTACATTCACTAGAAATTCTAATCCATCTACAATCCCCAGACATGTTTACCACTGACAAAGTGCACATCTACAAACCCTCTTTACACTCACATCACAACAATACACATGACACAGAAGCCCCAGAAACTTTGTTCTTTGATGTTTTAAATGGTTTGGAGGGCTCTGGCAACACTGAAACAGCAGCAATGGGTTTTGATCCCTTCGCCTTCCCAACTATATAACACACAGAGTTTCAAGTGCCACCCGTCTGAATGTGTTTCACACACTATCTGAACAGGTTGATTAAAATAACTTTAATACAAATGACAACAACAGGTGGAATTTTCCATTCTCTTGATGGCAATGGCAAGAAATGTGAGAAAATATGGTGAAAAAGAAAAAATTCAGAATCTTGACATTGAGAAAAAAGGTCTGCTTGTCCCCCTAAGGTTATAAGGTGTTTTCAGAATCTTGCTAATGAGCAGAG